CCCCAAAACCCCAAAACCCCAAAACCCCAAAACCCCGTAAGGTAGCAATAAATCCAAATCAAGTATATTTTTATATTGCCTAAAATAAACAATAATTAAATCAAGAAAATGAATCATATTCAGGCTTTAAATAAACTGATTTAGGATAGTGCTTCAGTTCCTCTTAACTCCGATAGAATGCCTGAGTAAAAATTCAACAATAACTCTAAATTTAAGATGGCAGCATCCTCGAGTCTGAAGAATCTAAATCATAGACCTATGACATCAATAAAATCTAGGGCTTAAAATAATAACAACAACAATAACAATAGCAGCAATTCGAAGTAAAAATAGCCATAGCAGAGTTAGTTGAAATCTCTACATACCAAATCAACTGCAGCTGCTAGTGTTATACTGAATTAGCAATCGGCTGAAGATGGAGAAACTACATCTAAGTATTTGAAGTCTATTATTAAAAATCATTCGAATCAAGTGAATATGTAATCAGAATAAAAATAAGTTTAAAACTTAAAGACATCTGAAAAGAAGAAGTTGTCTCGACCACAATCAATTATAAAAAACATTACTCAGCAAATTGGGAAAAACTTCTCAACTTTAAATACAGATGCGATAGTAAACAAGCAAAATAAAATGAATCAGAACTTAACTATTCCAATAAAGGGGTCATTTGGGAGTATACTGCCATAAAACTACGAAAGACCAAAGGATTCACTGTTAATTGTAGATGACGATGAGAGTTCCTTTACATCGAAGACTAATACTATGAAGCAGAATTCAACTAAAAATAATATTGCGACTTTGGCTTTGTAAAGAAAGAAGAATTCCCAATCATTATCTATAACAAGTACTAAGGCTAAATAGCTAAGTAATTAGCTAAAGAATTCTCACTCTGAGGCATAAATTACTAAGCGATTCAAACAATAAAGTAACGACGACATTAATAAAGAAGATATCTATAACAATACAAACAGTAGCATGAAGTCCCCTACTCTGGAGAAGTTCAAAGATATCATTAAGACTTCAACAAGAAACTTCATTATGAATAATAAACAAGTAATTAGGGACACCTAGATAAATAAAGAGGAGCTCGAGACTATATTAGTACCCAAGGATGAAATCACTGAACTAGATGAGGTTAAGAGAGATTACTATGAAAAAATTGAAGAAGAGAGGAAGAGGTCCTCAAGGTACTTTAAAGTTAGAGATTATGACTAGTGCAAGAAGCATATTGATTATGTAATTGACATTGCTAGTCATGCCTATGATCTTGAAACTCTAAGGGACTCGTTTCATTTGAAGGCATTGGTGTGCATATTCTTTGATGACTATGAAGAGGCACTGATTTCTTTCAAGAAGTTAAGAGATGTAGCAAGTGAGGAGGAAAATGATCATGCCAAAATGCAAGCATATGATAATATGGGCAGATGCTACAATGCAATGAAGAATTATGAGAATGCAGTGAAATGCCATAAAAAGCAACTAGAACTTTCTTGGAAAAATAGTGACATATAAGAAGAACTTCGGGCATATGAGTAACTTGGAATATAGCATTATTACCTTGGAAATCTTGAAAGATCGAAGTATTATAACGAAAGGTGCATGAGAGGCATTGTAGAGAAGAAAGACTCTAAAATCAGGCTTATGTATGAGGATTATGGTAAGACTCAGATCTACTAGAGATAGGATAGAGTAACGTTCAAGAAGTTGAAAGAGATTTTAGAGTCCTTTTCAAAAATTAAAAATGATCTTGTGAGGAATCTTAAGAAAAAGATCATTGCTACTACTTATGGCACAGGCAATCTCCAAGAAGCACTAGATTTCTATAGAAATGGCCTTCATCAAAGAGAAAGACCTATCAAGTTGAGAGAAGGCTCAGTTATATCAGAGCTCTCAATGACTATGCTTCCCTCACCAAGAATGGTTATAGAAGACAATAAGATGAAAAATGCTCAGTTATTGCCTTATTATTGTGATTAAGTCGACGACAGAGATGATGCATAGAAAAAAGATAAGTTTCAACTTGTGGTTGCAAGAAATCTTAGTAAAAAGGGCAATCTTTAGACTGCAAGTAAGGGTTTGTTTAAAATAGCTGAATAATATGGTGGCTAATTTATCAGTGAACTCTAAGTAATGAATAGAGGAAAAGTAAAAAATAATGAAGTACTAGAAAAGTTCCGACAGCAACGCTTGAAATCTATGAATATTAAAGGTGAAGTTGATATGAAAGATGTCCTGAGGAAGGCCAGGCTTAGATCAGAAAAGTAAAACTCTCATATCTCTATAAATCATCTGAGTCCTAATAGAAATCTTAGGCATTTCAGAGAAAATGAGGATTTAAAGAATCAGGAAACCTAAAACTAATTTCAAGTTGTAGAGAATGACCTCAGAACGAAAGTATCACTTATTGAGAACACTCCAGTGAAACTAGATTTGCTGAATGAGGAATAAGCAATCAGACTTATCGAGGGAAATGGTAACAGACATATCAAAGTAAAAAACAGTATGCTAAGAAAGAAAACAACGATTGGAAGTAATAATTTTACCAACAATGTGAGAAAGCTAAGCATGTTTAGAAATATGACTAATACAAATTTGCATAATATACCTGGATCCGGAGGTCATGCTAACAATAGATTTAGCCTAATTGAGGGAAGTGGATCTAATGCCACTTAGATTACAAGCAATCGACAGCAAGACGTTTATAGAAACTCTTCTTAAAAAGTTGATATTACTTTAATGTCTACATTGAGACAACCTCAGAACATGAGACTCAAAAGGTTTAATGAATAAATCAATAATACCCTTTCAAATACATTGAACCTAAATATGTAGAGAGGTGGAAGTAGAAATATGTATTAGTAATAGAATACTATGCTTGTGTCAAATGATGTGATATAAATTTAGAAGAAAAATACAATGATAACTAGTGGTGATAATACGAAGTCATCTTTAAATATGTTTTAAAAAGTAATGAACTCAATGATTAACCTATGAAAATACTAAAATCTTAAGGAATTATAATGATTAATAAAGAGGAGCTGTTGAAAAATTATATTTTAAATGTGATTTAGCCAATATTTAAAATGAATACTGATTCATGGGGTTTTGGGGTTTTGGGGTTTTGGGGTTTTGGGG